GAGATGAAGATAAAGAGAGGGTAACATTATTATTATCATTTTGAGACTGTTTCTCAAATTGATTATTAATTATATTTGATATTTGTTTATTAATCGAAAGAGATTCACCGGTACAAAGTATTTATCCAGCTCACACTTTTGATTCTAAAGCTAACCGACTTGAGGCTTTCCTTTAACCCCTTTAATTTGTCACTGACGCGTCACCCGACAAATTCTCGTTTTCCCGTCGTGCCCGGTCGTTTTGTATTTAATATTTTTCGCCAGCGCGGACGGACGATATATAACTACCGTGCGGTTCGCGATCTCCTCCGTTAAAAACCGCAGAAAATGACATTCCACCCTCCTGCGAACGGTTCGCTGACCCTCGCTTTGGCCTTCCTCCCTTTCTCTCTCTCTCTCCCCCCTTTTTTCGTATACTGGCCATTATACTTACGCGGATGTGTGCGTGTCGTAAAAGGGCGAAAGTGGGAATAGAAGAAGCGAGAAAGGTCGTTTAAATCCTTCTTCGTGTCTCCCGCGCCGCCGCGAGTCGCCAACCCTCCGACCGTGTTTTTGCCCCTTCCGCCCCCGTCGCGATGCCGAACTCCTGCCGCATGATATCAAACGCAAACACGAACGTACAGAAGAAAGGAACGAGTCTTTAAAACATTTTGCAGCGTCTTTTTTTTTTCACTTAAACCGCTTTTAATCTTCGGTATTTGTCTTTGAACTTTTTAAATATTCGACCGCATCAAAGGGGATCTTCTCCAACTGAAAATGTTGGTAGTAATAATTGCGCGGGAGCATCTCGTAATAAAATTAAAGTAATTAACGAATTATAAAGTAAGTTGAATAATGAATATAAAATAAAACAGAGGTAAAGGCGACAGAGGTAAAGTAAGTTAAATTAAAAAAAAAGGCGCTTGGAGCTGCCGAGCATCCTCAAGTATTCGCACATAAAAGCTTACTGCACGCCAAGCTTTACAAGCATTTTTTTATTTGATGAGAATTCTGTGTAATACCTTCCATGATTATGCGGCGCTAGCAAGAGAGTAGCTGAGGCTTCGTCGAATTTCTTCGAGAGTAAGGAGCTTAACTCCTCCTGACGTATTCGGATTTTTTTTTTTTCGGAGCTTCTCCCAGCAAGAAGCTGTGCTCGCAGCAGGTCATTCATGCCGCAACAAAACAAATTATGTTGCAATGGATCTTTGGCTCGCGCACACACAGTAGGCCGCTTTGTGTCTAAACCGCATTCAAACGACATTCATACCTTCGGATTGTAACGATCGATAGATCGTAAACATAGTCGATTTACCCTACATATTGGCTCTATGAAAAAATCTCAGCTAAATTTTAGTGAGATTTGTAATTAATAATTCAACTGACGTTCTCACATAATTACTCGTAATCATTACTTTGACCGATTAACTGAATCGTTGACTAATTCATAATGCTTATACCGTTTTGTTAACGCAAATAGAATTATTAATATTTTGCTGTTTAATACATGGAAAGCGATTAGATTAAGGGATAACAAATTATAGTTGCACGGAATGAATGATTTTATTGAAAGGTCTAAAAATTTTGCTAAAAACAGATCTTAAAATAATTTTTTATTGAATTATCAAAATAATTTGTTAAAATGTTAAAACTGATAAGCATTGCTATAAAACTTGTGCGAAGATTATTGATCAAAAATTATTTTTAGATCTGGATTCAGCAAAATTGTTCTTTACGTGTAGAAATTTTACTTCAATCAATTGAATTAATTGTCGATTAATCGAACTTTGGCCCTTAAAATAAAATCAAGCTTTTGGATATTACCTTTTACTTTAAATTGAGAAAGGCGGGTGAAATGCAAAAGAGATAGGAAAAAAGAAGAGAGAGAGAGAGAATGAGCTTTCATAACGTGCGATAAAGCGGCGGCCGCGAAGCGCAATTTTCGCGCGCCGGAACATGTCGCACGCAACGAATGTGCGTTTGATGGGGCGCGATGTGTCAGTTAAGTGGATCAAAGCTCGATCGGACATCCGCTCTCGATCGGGAGCCGCGGCGACGCGCTCGCGAGCGCGAGAATCGCTTTCATATGTACATATACCGTTCGCATTCGAGTCGATCGCGGGTTCGCGGCGCACAGACTCATAAATACCGCACGACCGCGCGTGTGACGGCCGTGTTTTCGCGTGCAGGCACCGTGACGTCGATATTTGCCTGGCGCTCGCGATATGGAGAATGCAGGCGGCCGAGAGAGAGAGAGAGAGAGAGAGAGAGAGAGAGAGAGAGAGAGAAATGAACTCACTAGCCTGCGTGCTTTGTACGTGAGAAGAGAACCGAAGTTATGTCTGGCGCAATTGCCAGGGTAACCATCTCCTTGGCTATTTCCGATTTTATATCTCTTTGTTTAAGATATTCATGGGTGGGATTTACATCCAAGGCATTTGCAAAAGATCGTAGAAACGGCGGTAGCGCGCGGTGTTAGAAGTGCCGCGGGAAATTTCACGACTGCAGGGGGCTGACGTTCGTTTTCGAATCGTTAAGTGATGCTCCCTCGACGATAATCCGCCGCGAAAGCTCGTCCTTGCCCGTCGTAAATTCCCAATTTCTATTTTCCATTAATTCCCATCGGTTGTTATAATCTGTTAATCTATTCCAAGGAAGATTCTTCCCTGGAATCGTCCCCCCATCCCCGTGTGGTAAGAGTCATTTACTCCACGTGCTCGTAGCTTAGCGGTCTCGTCGAGCAAGCAGAGAGCAGAGAGGGTAGGGTTTATCGATTTCCCCGCGCGCGCACACGGGAGCGTTTTCATCGCCGGCCGGTATCATCTTTCGCAATATGGCGCGTTTGCGTTATACGGCGCGCTATAATTACGGGCGTTTTACGACGCCCGCGCTCTTCGCCCGCGATATACGCCGAGGGGGATCGTGCCGCCCCGCGTGCGCGCTTTACGAGTCGTACGTGTTGTTTAGTTGTACGCACACGGAGTGTATACGCTGCTACGGGATGGCACACGTGGAGAGCACCACTCGACAACGGACGGCGGATGTTGGGCGGGGGTGGGTGGTTGTGACTGGCTGGCTGGAGGCGGAGACGAGGTTGAGCGAGGTCAGGGCGGATGAAAAGTCCCTGACCTGGTCACCTACGCTACGTCTTTTTCTCTCCTCCTCCTCCTCTCTCTCTCTCTTTCTCTCCTTTTCTCTCTTACGTTTGCGCTACCGCAAACTTTCGTGGCAGGAGGGGCACCTCGGGGGCTTAATTAGCGACACGTCAATGTCCTGTCGCGCCTTTGGGACCCCGGCGTAGGATGATTCAGGAGAAAAGGTCGATGCTTTGAGAGAGATATCTGTTTTCTGTGTAGCAATTTTTATCACTTGAATTACAGAAGAATATTTTTTTTACATCAGACACTCGCACTTCTGCGTTTATTTTAATTACTCTTCTGTTCGCTTTGTTGACGATTATATTCATGCTTGTATCTAACGACGGTGGAATGTCATTCGTCGTGGCGTATAAAATCGGCGCCAGCAATCGTTTTCTCGTCGATCGTTTCCGCCGTCGTCGATACCATTATTCTCGCGTGAGTACGCGCGAGAATTACGGGAGCTCCTCCGCTCTCCTTTCCGAAATTCCTGCTCGAGCGCATCGGCCGCGTCTAGGGGCCGCGCCGAGGCGCCTTCATTACAAGGGCGATCGGCGCGAAAAAGTCTTCCGGCGCTAACAAGCGGACGTGATTTATAGCGGCGCTCATTAATCACGTTAAGTTTCTCTCCCTCTTGGCGCGCCATCCCCCGCATCCGCGCCACCGCCGCCGACCTCCTTATTAAACCGCGATTCGATCTCATTGTCCTTAACGGACAAAGGCGTAACGCGCGCGGCGGTTGCACGGCGAGAGCGCGCGAGGCACGGGACGGAGGAAACACTGCAGTGGTTGTATTATTGCGCACGTACAACAAACGTGATTCATATTAGCGCGCGCGCGCTACACGCTAAATTACCAGTCGAACACTGCAGTGTGTCGTAAACTCGGCAAGTCGCCCGCTTGCTCCTCCTCGGCGCATTAATTTTTGCTAATTGCCCGTGCAATCAGTGCGCGACTGGCAAATGTATACGCGTGTATATGCACGCGCTTATATAAACACACATATATATATATATATAATAAATTACATATGTACGTGTAAGTATGTTATTACACGACGAAACGCGATGAATGCTCGCCGCCGAGGACGACGACGGTATCGGGGCAACTGCACGGTATTCGATCGTTGCCGCGTCTCCGCAGCTGTCGCCGATCTTTGTTTGATAAATGACTGGGAGCGAGGCTGCTTACGGAGCGCCACCGTGACGTGATTGATTCGTTATGTTACGTCGTCACCCCTTGCATTACCCCTCACGACCGGTCGTGTCCCATTTAGCCGCGGTACCATCCGAGATGGTAACTTGTCACCGCGATTTCCCGGCGACGAAATGAATCTCTCCTCCACCCCTCCCTCTCGGCGAGAGCTTAAGCAGCAATTAGCAGCTTTATATAGGATTCACTAAGTTAATTGAGAGAACCTCTCTCCCCCTGGATCGTCTAATTAAAAATGCGCTAATTGGTAATGTAACTCGACCGAAGAATCTTATCGCTGAGCGAGACACTTGGCGCGCAGCTTTCTTCGTTTTTACGGTTATTAATAGCGGATTTTCAGTCGACAAATCTAGATTATATAACGAAGATGCATTTTCCAGTTCTGAAATATTCACGTTAATTTCTTTTAAGTAAAGAAGCAAATGTACAGAGACTGATCGTTAAATCGTAATTTCAAGAATGTAGTATCAAGTGGTGGATGAGAAAATAACGGATGCTGTAATAATAATAAGTAATTATCTACTTTTTCGCGGGTGTTTAAAATGTATCTAAAATTTCGAGCACTGAGGTCGAGTGCCGATTGGTAAGATGTAATATTGTAATAGATATAACACACGCGCGATCTCATCGTTCACGTCACTAATGTTTTTTGTCCTTCATTTTTTTTTTTAGGTGAATCCTGACCCAGAGATCCAGTCTAAGCTGGGCAATTATGCGCTCGTACGGCAGGCTCTGATCGAGAAGCCCAAGCGGTTGATCGGCATCGATTGCGTCCCGCCGAGTCCGTCGCCGATGCCCACCGCCCCGGTGCTCACCAGCCCGGCGATGCTCACCGGCCCGGCGATGCTCACCGCCCCGGCGTTCACCGTCTCGGTGCCCATCGCCCCGACGCTCTCCGCCCCGCTGCCCTCGACGTCCTCCGGGTCCTCGGGGTCGGAGTTCAAGAAGCCCGGTGGGCCCCGGAGCACGAGCGCCGCGTCTTCCTCCTCGAGCACGAGCAACCAGCAGCGGGGCGGCTTTGTCAAGCCTACCGACAGCAAGCCGTCCTACAACGGTCGGGGCAGTTATGCCGGTCAGCCGGTCAAGCACGATTATCCACGCACCCACGGATTGCTTTCGGTCAAGCTGCCATCTCAGCTGCCCCCCGCCATCACCGTGGGAAGTAACGGCGTGCCGATCGTCAGTTCCGGCGGAAGTGCCGGCATCTCTGGTAGCCTCGCCAGCCGCACTCAATTCGCCGAGCGACTGAAGCTCATCGAGGTTAACGTGAGTAATCGATCTTTTGCATCTCCATCCCTTTCGCGCGATTCCTCCTCCTCCTCCTTCTCCCCTCTTCTTCCTCCTGGCGCGCGTCGATCGTCGCTCGAATCGTTTTCGGGCACGGTTCGCATGCACGATGGCCGTCCGTAGCCTCGAGAGAGTGGACGGATAATGGCTTTTCGGAGGTAACGAGGGAGGGAGGGGGGGGGGAATTCGATCGTTTCGCTTCGAGTGGAGATTGTTTGCACACGGGTTGTCCCGGAAGTCGCGTGTTTCCTGTGACATAGACACCGTGGGGTCGAAAAAACGGCGTTAGCCGATCGAGAAGTATTAATATAACAGTTTGCCGGACTCGGGGAAATGTCATCGATGTCGATAAGCCCCTTAAGCTTGTCGAGCAGAGCTTGCCTTACTAATATATAATTGCCCAGTTTAGACTAGATCTCTGTGTCAAGATTTACCTAAAAAAAAAGAAGGATAAAAAAACATTAGCGTCAAGGAATTGTGTTCTAAGAATCTTCGTCACGAATATGAAGAGATTAAAAATTACAAAAAGAAGGAACATTTAAAAAGATATATAAGGAAATAAAAAAGATGATTTTATTATTTTCTTTTATCTTAAAACTTTGAATATATTACTATTATTTTCCGGACTATATAAAACGAAAAGTATTTAAAGTCTCCCCCTTTATCGATTCTCTCTCACTTGTCTTGGCTAACTCCACCGCGAACGAGTGAATTCTAAAACTGACGAGTATGAAAAATGATCGCGGGAGTACCGATCCGCAAACACGTGAATGAAGAATGCTTGTACATAATTTCTGGAATGTCTCGCATGCACGTTGTGACGCAAGAAGATTAATCTGAAGCTTGAAAGCGTTCCGATGGTATTGAGAAATAAATAATTGGACCAGCAATATTTTGTAATTGATGCGTTCAAAGCTAAAAAGAACCTAAAAAGAAACCTTTCGCGTTACTTTCGATTCTTTATTCCGTTATCAACCTTTTTCGCGTCACGTACGCGTGATAAGGAGTTCGTGAAGGCTTTCGATGTTATTTTTGAGACTAATCGTCGTGTAGTATTTCCCACATTTGAATTATAAATCTGAAAGGGCAATTTGATTTTATCGGAATTTAAAACTCGCGAGTTGAAGCACCGCGACTGTCCGTGCTCTCCGTCTAATGCATCGATTTTTTATTTAACGCGTTATCAAATTCGCGTGATATTAGCGGCCCTCTCGATAAGCGCGCCAGCCTGCGGCGGTGACGTCGCAGCGAATGCCAGACTCACAAAGTCTCCAACTACTTTAATAGCACGTCTCGCCAAGAGTTGCGATTATTTGTCACGTAAGAAGATTAAGAGCGAAGTTTCCGCGGCGGCGGCGGCCGACGCTATTGTCGCGCGTGCTTACTAAACGAGACACCGTCGAAATTAACAAGTTGCTGGAAATCATTATGCTCGCCGATAATCCTTCCTATGTACTCCTAATTATTCTTCAGACTCCGCTACAATAACGACGTTATAATATCGGTAAATTGCGAGTCTCGATTCTTCGACGTCGTTTCTCCGTGAAATCAGATAATTTTAAAATTTTAGTTAACCGACGATTTCGATGTACTTATATGTAAAATGCATTAGCAAATTCATGAGAGGGTCTGCGATTGGTACAGTAAATAACTATAATAATTACTATATATGAACGATACGCGTATTTTTGGAAAAATTGACGACGCCCCGAATTGTTCGTTTGCTACATCAATGTCCTGAATTATCGATCATTCCTCGACGTCCCAAGCGCTATTCGTTTCCGCGTACAAACGAGCGAATCACGACGTTTCCTCTCCTCGCCCTCCCCCCTCATCTCTGCAAATCGCAGGAGAAAGATCAAGCAACCATGGGCATTAATCACCAAGGAGCCATAATAAAGAGGTTATTATTATCCCCATCCTCTCTCTCTCTCTCTCTCTCTCCCTTTCTTCGCGCCGACTTTGAATTTCCATTCCGGGATCATCCGGCGGGTATCAAACGAAACCAGTTGGCTCGACAGGTTCTCGTTGACAGAGAACGAATTGCTTTTCAATGGAAATCCCAGCTGGGACGGGGGGAGGGAGTAGTGGTGGTGGTCCAGATTGTGGGGGAGGGTAAAAAGGGGCGAAGAGGGTCGGAGTTTCGAGTCGACGGGCGCTATTACGTCTAGCTCCTCGAGGTGCAAATTTCATTGAGATTGACTATCGATCGTGTCTCCTTCTTCATGTTCCCTTCGTCCCCCCCATCCCTCCTTTCTTTCGCCGATCACACGTTACCCATCTTTGGAGTGCCTCTCTTTCCTTGGGTGTACTTATACAATTAGAACCGGTCGGGGGTGTGAGGAGCATCCCGTTTCTTCTCTCTCTCTCTCTCTCCCCTTCGCCTTTCTCCCGGAAAATTGATTCCCGTCCGTCTCCCCTTCGTCGCGCTCTTTCCGGTTCCGGCATTCTTTTTCCTTCTTCTTTGACAATGGGGATGGCGGATCGTTCGCTGCTGAGTCGTTGGCCATTCGTCCTCATCCGCGAAATTAGTTTGGAATTGCGCGTAAAGGAAGGTAAAGGGGGAGAAAAGAGGAACGTGGTTGTCAACAGAGGGAAGGGAGAACGAGGGCGAGTAAATTCGGCAACCTAAGTATCGCCGTACGACGTTAATGAAAACGATATATTTCGAGCCCTTCCTGCGTCACTTTCTCTCCGATTTTTTTTTATTTGAAGATCGCCCACATCTTTCTTTTTACTCCTTCATAAATATCCGATATGTATGTTTAAAAAGGTAATTCTCGTGTCTGCGTGTTTTTGCCGGAAATAATTTAAATAGCTGTCGATACAGCGCGGAAAAGTAAAAACGAAATGATTACATCTCGCGTTCCGAATCGATTGAATAATCCAGGTTTGAATAAGATTCTTTCGAATCTGTAATTTCAACATTACTGCAATTTAAACAATTTCTTTATTTATCGCGTCGCGGCTCGCGAGCGCGATAATACAAGTATATATCTCTCCTCCTTCCATTTTCTCGCCTCCCGTCTCTCTCTGGTTTTCCCCATTTTTCGCTCGTTCCTTTTCCGTGATTATCCAGTCTCGTCTGCCTCCGTTTTTTGCCCCGTCCTCCGCGACGCGATGTCCTCCGGTTAAAAGTTAGTAGACACTCTCAACCCTTTCCTGTCGCCCTTTTCCCACCGCCCGCCTCGTCGTCCGCCGCTTCAGCCGTCCTCACGCGTTCTCCATTGTTCAACGCGTTTTCTTTCCGGGAATGACTACTCGGCGTTATTCGTAATACCACCCTTCAGGACGTGTCCTCCCGCTCGTCTCGCTCCAACTCTACAACGCCCTTTTCAATGCCTTCCCTCCTCGACGATGTTGATTAATGATCGCTCGAGGAGGCTCGTCATAAATCGCGGAGGAATTTCACGAAGGGGAATCGCATTCGCATGTATAAATTGGTCCCATGTACGAGACGCTCTGAATTCGTTTCTCGCGCGCGCGAAAAAAGAGATCAGTTCGATCTGTCGAAATGAATCTCTGTTTAACCTTGGGTATTAATCCAAATTCGAGTAGCGTTATTTTTCTTAATGTAATTTTTTTCCATCCTATCGGGATTTTTGTTATTTTTTAGAATTAATATTAAGTATATTAATACAAATATGTAAAATATATAGATAAATGAGTTACACGAATTAATTTTACTTTAATTTTCCTTTTTAGGGGCCTAACTCGCGATCCTCGATTGATCCGATGACTCCGGACGTAGAGAATATTTTGAAGGTAAGTCACTTTGCACAAATTTAACCGTTGTATTTACTCTCTAAATCTGAATCAGTGCATAGTCACTGATTATCAATGGTTATTCATTGAATAAGCATCAGTATTATTTCACTGCCAATCGGTAAAATTATAGATTAATATTAATAGTTTAATTATAGATTATTAGGTAAATTATAGTTGGATTCTAGATACTGACTCGATCAGTGATTTTTCAGTACTTTTCCACTGATTCAGATTTAGAGAATAAATAATTATCACCGTGTTGTAACTAAAACTGGTACGCAATGAAATTCCTTTGTCTCACGCGTAATACGTATGCTATACGATTAGATAAATCAATTTCCCGATAAAATGTGCATGTGTGCTTGTGTGAAATGTAATGCATGAAACATCGTCGGCTCGCTCTGAGGACTGGATCGCTCTGAAGACTGGATTGCCACACAACCACCTGAACACTCTTCCGCGGATAAACACGAGAATATCCAATGTTTCGAGCTTCCTTTCCCCAGCTCGAAACGGCAAGAAGAGGGTGGGAGGGGAAAAGGCTCATGCTCGATCAATAAGTCAATCTTCTCCGCCGATACGCAAGGCTATCTTGTGTAGAATCGATTTACCATTCTTCGTTCACCTCCGGCGCGTCCGATCTTCGACAGCGATATTATGTCACGCCTTCGCGAGAGATAAGCGGTCTCGATTTCCCGTTAATCGAAACTCTCACGAGACGCGATACACACGACCCCCCCCCCTTCGCCCCCGGATGGACGACAAGTCGAATTCGCCCGCGCGACTTTTCGTTAATGACGGGATCTAATGCTTGCGAACGCGAACGAATTTATCTCGCTCTCTCCTTCCGTTTCACTCGAATTTATCCCGCTCTCGTGCCCCTCCCCCTCTTTTTACGGAGATTAAGCAAAGAATAAGACGCGGCGAGATTTCTCAACGAGTGTCTCCCCCGGGAGAGAGAATCGCGATCATCTTTTTCGCGAAACCTGCCTCGGCGCTTCCTACGTTCGACTTCTGTCGATTTCTAAGTAAAAGCCCTCCGCGACTCCACCTCCACTGCTCTTCGTTAATCCAGAAATTAAGAAAGGAGATTGCATTTATCTTACTTGCCGGGGTGATCTTTCCGCTTTTACTTTTGCGAAACTTTTTCCCGGCCGTGCTACCCAGCGGCGCAGAAGTTCCTCTTCCCGAAGCGAAAACTACGACGAGTAGAAGCGGCACATCGTTATCGTCGCTCGCGGTTTACCGGAGACTTTATCCACCACCGGAGTTTTCTTTTGGCTTCGTTATTAATTAGTGTTGATACGGTTAAATGTACCGTCCCGTTGTTCGCTTAATTATTGGTCGAATGTAACTCGGAATTTCTGGACTGGCGGGAAGAATGCGATTAAACATTTCAATGAAGTTCAACGGAACTTTCGCGTCCGCGTATATCGATCGAAGTTGCTTTCTCCTACTGTCTCTCCTTTACGGCACTTGTTAATAGAAAATTTATTAAAGCGCAGCTCACGTGGACGTTCCCAGGCAGTTCTTGTCATAAGCTTACTCTCGGCAGTGGACGGTCATTCTATCTGTGTGCTTATATTTGTTACACTATTTTCGCTACTGCAGCACGCGATGCGCCCCTATCGGCATCAACCCCCCCCGCGTCGAATATTAATCTCGGAGAATTGTGTGTATAAACAAGTTTCGCGACCTACATTCTCAGCGAATTGTTCTCGTAGGTATTAAAACGCGCAAAAAATCCCCGTTTGTCGATTTCAATCGACCCGGGCAACGAAGTCGCGTAATATGTCATTTCGTTTTAACAGCTTCCCTTCATCACGCAGCGAGAGTAAACGGGCGTGCGCACCGTTATATTCGCGCTCCCAACGATACGATTATGACAATCGGCCTCACGCGAGATCGTAAATACTTTCCTAAACGCCAGCGGCAAAAACTGCTGCAGCCGCGCGGAAAGCAGCCACGGCTGTTTGCGCGCGGTGAGAAACGGAATTACGGTGGTAAAGTACGCGTCTTTACGCGGAGCCAGCCTTTCCTTTCCCCCCCTGCTTCGCCCCTCCTTCCACCCGAACTACCGCTCTCCGACAATGGGAATACCTCGCGCGCACCTTCCTCACTTCTGCCGGGCACACCGTGGAAAGCGTCTTGTACGTGGCTCGTTCGCGATAGCATCGGCGGTGAGACACGCGAACTTGGATTGCTTCTTCGAAGCGGGTGAGGTGCGAGGAGATAAAAATAAGAGGCGAGCGATTGTATATCTCTCTCCATTTCTTCCTTCGAAATCAATTTGCGCGCGAGTCGTTCATAAAATTAACGATGGATAAATACGACGCTATTTTTGTACGATTGAATTGTCACTTTTTACTTTTCGTTCAATTTCGCGGAGTTACTTCTTTGTTTTCGTTGTTTTTTTTTTTCAAATGATGTCTCTTGCTTCAAGGCTACTCCTCGACGCGTTAAAATTCAGCCGCGGAGCGTTAAATTAAAAACGCGGAAACACGCAGCGGTCGCGTTAATTTCCGCGGAACACGGTGCAAAGCGGAGTGGAACAACAATATTAGAAAATTGCGAGTTGCGGGAGAAGCGGGCGGATTACACAGTCGCGCCGCGTATATGTGGTATCAATGAATACAGCTGGCGACTAAATTATCCGGGATAAGTAATTACGGTCGTAAATGCGATTCAGCGGCGGAAGGGTAAACGTTTCAGAACGACACGTGAATTTATGGCGCCATTCGCGCGCGCGCGCGCGCGCGCGTTCGTGGCGCACGTGCGCGGCGCGGCGCGGGGGCACTACGAGTCTCTACGCGAAATTTCCACAAGTGCGGAAACGAAATGCGCGCGAGCCGGAGGGGGTTGTCGTCTGTCTCGGCGTGTCCGACGACGCGATGATTCACGCCGCCGCGTCGGTCGTCGGCGTTGCTTTTCCCGGTCGTGATGTATCGCCGCGACCGTCGACATCGGGCCGAAAATAGTATGCATTCCGCAGAATTTTAATCCTTTGATCGCCGACGAATCCGCGGCACGGTGGCGGGAAGAGGGTGGGTGATATAATTCCCGACGCGCCGCGCGTTGTTCTCCGGATTCGACGTTCGAGAGTATATATAACGGGATTTCAGTAGTCTATACCACTATATCCACCGCGCCGCCGCTACCGAGAGGATCAGCGAAACGAGTTAGGGGTCGACGGGATCGTATGCTAATTTATGGATATGGTTTAATGGCGATTATGGGATCCGATAACATCGAATCCCAGCAGTCGTAATGTTGTGACAGTGTCAATTCTGTCCCTTCTCCCTCCTCCTTCTCCTTCTCTGCGCTCAGACTGACGTCGTCCCGACACCTCGTGCCCGTTCGCTCGTGATTGATACTTTCGTCCGAAGGGCGTTTCACGTGGACGTATAACCGGTCTCAGGCTTTTCTTTACGAGATGTCAGTTTCGAATAAAGATCAGTCGATCGTCATTCGACGAGGAAAACACGACGAATCAGATTTCGACGATTTCAATTAACTTCGGTTAATTTAGAGCTTTAACATTAACGATGATTTTTTTTTTAATGTTATTAGGATTTGACTAACAAGGTATCTTTATGGTCTTTAAATACGATGACAAGCGACACTTGAAACAGGAGAGCCAACGTACCAGAAAACACAAAATTGATAATTCCTCCAGTGAGGAAGTACCCGCGAAAAAGAGAAGTCATGTATCGGAGTTACCCTGGCGGCTCACCCCCATTTGTTTACCTCATCGACCTTTCATTTCATCTTATGACGATATTCATAACCAATTAAAAGTCAAGGCTGCTAGAAGAAGAGTAGATCATAGAATTCCGAGTTCCTTCCCCTTTGACCAGCTCTGCCGCGACCCTCGTCTCTCTCGTCGCTCGATATTCGGGCCGGCGGTTCGTATATGAGCAGAGACCCATGAATTATTCTCACGGCTCTGCCCGTGGGAAAATACGAGAGTTGCGCCAGTAGGCATCGTAAATGCGACTGCTAATTGCGCTTGCCTACTCCGGCGACACAACAACGACGGCGCCGACGACAATCGCTCTGGTTGGCTAGCTCTGAATATCACATTTTTCCGTGACCATCTTCCGCTTACTTAAGGTTGCTTTCATCTATGGAGCGTCCCCGTCATTTGCGCCGTTCTAACATTTTGTAAATATTCAATATTTATTTTTATTTTTTTCAACATTTATATGCGATAGAAGGCAAATTTTGGACTGATTATTGTAAATCGAACTTTGGAAAATTTTTTTGACGATATTTTAACGAATTAACAATATTTTAACTAGATGTGAACATATATAGTTCTCTTTATATTACTGTTAATTGTTTGATCGTTCTTGTATTTATCCTTGTGTTTGTCCTGATGTTTGGTTTTGTATTTAATGTCTAATGTTAATAAATTCAATATAAATTTAGGCTTAAATGATAAAATTTAGGTAGGAACTCAAGGCTAATTCAAGGAACAATGTCAGATTTTATTGATTGATTTATTTTATGACGATTTGGCTAACTCAAAAAATAATGTTGGATTTGTGTAAAATTTACACTGCAAGTCACAAAAGTTTGGAAACACTTTTTAAAAATTGACAATTTTGTGATTCCTTATTCAAATATCCATAATGTATTTTTTTTTACAATACAATAATATTCTTCAGATTCTGTAATCATTATATAAAACAGTTTATCTATGTTTTCGTGTTCCCAAACAGGCCTGGAGTGTAAATAAATCGAGGAGTCAACCATTATGAGAATCAGTGTACATTTTTTTTAGGAATACTGCCATAATTGACAATCACCGTACATTTTTTTAGTAGTGGTTGACCCCTCGAAATAAATGTAGTATGAATGTATTCAAAACAAAATTTGTAAATAAACTATAATTGGCATCAAAATTAATTAGGTGTATACGTTCAAAAGATCCCGAAATTGCAGGAAAACAAGTAATCCGGAGGTATGCGTGTGTGTTTTGTATCACGCTTGAA